AAAAAAAAAAAAGACTTTACTTTTTTGTTCAAGTACCTGATTAAGAGTGTACCCTCTGTCCTTAGTATATATAATACACTAAAAGCCTTGAATTCAGTCCTTTAATCATCAATGCTTAAATGAAACAGCCCATTCTGAGTTCTCTACATAGATTATCAACTGTACCTTTAAAAATGACTTTCTATTTTGGGGGCCAGGCCGGTGGCGTAGTGGTTGAGTTCACGCGTTCCGCTTGGTGGCCTGGGGTTCACAGGTTCGGATCCTGGGTGCGGACCTACTCGCCACTCATCAACGATGGTGTCCTACATAGAAGAGCTACAACTCTACAACTGTGATACATAACTATGTACTGGGGCTTTGGAGAGAAAAAAGAAAAAAAAGAGGAAGATTGGCAACAGATGTTAGCACAGGGCCAGTCTTCCTCAAAAAACAAACAAACAAAAAATGACCTTCTATTTTAGAAACTAAATTTCCAAAAGGAATTACCATGAACGTAACCTCTAGCTGAGAGAAGCTCTTCCCAGTAGGGTCTGGATAAATTAATTCTCCAGTCATAAAGATCCTCAATTTCTCATCACGTTTAACTTATATTTAGCCAGAAGCAAAGAATCAATTTACAGCTAAACCAAGCGTCTCTATAAGTCTCCATTTAAATCTTTAATCAATTTGTTAACATCTGAAGCCTGCTGCCCACATAGGTAGGAATTTTGTTTGAAGAACAGTTGATTTTTTGTAATATTTACATTGCATACTTATCCTTTCCTGACTGTATTCTTACTAATTAAAACTATTGTAAATCTTTATTAATAGGTGCCTAGAGCATTTTACTTTTGAAAATTCAAATTGTAAAATTTTATTACAAATTAAAAATGATATCCTTAAAAAATCTCAAGTTGGTTACCTGTGAAACAATTTTGAAACCTTAGGTGTTTAGGTGAGTTCATTTCTCCTTGCTGGAACTACGTTTCGGTTTATACTTGTGGGTGAACTAAAACAGACGAGGGAGAGCATGGTATTTACTCAGCCCTTGTCTGACTGGCCTGGGGGGACATATTCTCAGCTGTTGGATCAGCCACTTTTGTCCGTTTGCCCCCTTGTGGTTTTGGACTACGTGAGCATCTGCTTCGGTGACTGTGGCACTGAGTCAGCTGCTCACCTGGCTGGATCTCTGAGGCTTTCTCTGTCCTCTCAGGGCTTTGGTGAGGATGCCCTGCAATGTTGCGACTCAGCCAGCACCACTTGTCTGTCCCTCTGACCTCTGCTGCCCTTGGCTCTGGGCGATATCAGTGGATCTTTGGTGAAGAGGCTCCATTCCTGGTGAGGTGGGCACTGCCACTTGTAGGGTCTCTGTCTCAGGGTGTCTCCACCTTTGTGGAGGAGAGCATGTCCCCGAGTGACGGAGATGGTGCTATTGCCCTGGCTTCTCCAGTGACTTCTTCTTCTTCGCCTCTCACTCTGTCCTGACAACTCAAGGATTCATAGCTAGAAGCCAACATTGGGAGTTGGGGGCAGGAAGATGGTCCTGAGGTCCTGGGAGTGGATGAGCCCAGGGAGACACCGAGGAAGGGAAGAAAAGGGGATCCAGGAGAGCCCAGGACAGAGGTCTGTGGACCCTAGTCATTTGAGGAGGAGAAAGATGGGGAGGCCCCGGGTCTGAGCAGGAGGGGCCAGGAGAGGGTGGTGCCATATTGGTGGAAAGAATAAGAAGGAAGACTGAGCCACAAGTAAGCTGTACCTTGACATCATTCACTGCACAACCCCAGCACCTAGTTCCCTCTTGTTTGCTGAGCCCTCACCAACCTTCCTTCCAGCAACTCTTTTTCTCCTGTTCCAAATAATTTAATATTCATATTTCTTCCTTATCCATCTGTTCATTTTAAAAAACATCCCTGTCCCTTCTCCTTGGAATATAACCTTTATCCTGAAATTTGTAGGAATGTTTTTCTTTATGGTTTTACCACACATATCCCTAAACCATATATTGTTCTAATTTACATGTTTGAACTCTGAATGTATTAACTTGCCAAGGCTGCCATAACAAAACACCATAGACTGGGTGGCTTAAACAATAGAAATTTATTTTCTCACAGTTTTGGAGGCTAGAAGTCCAAGATCAAGGTGCTGTCAGGGTTGGTTTCTGGAGAGGCCTCTCTCCTGGCTTGTCAACAACCCCCTTCTTGCTGTGTCCTCACCTGGCCTTTCCCCTGTGTGCATGCACTCCAGGTGTCTCTTTCTCTCCTAATATGGACACCAGTCCTATTGGATTAGGGCTCCATCCTTATGACCTCATTTAACCTTAATTACCGCCTTAAAGACCCTGTTGCCAAATACTGTCACAGTGGGGTTTAGGGCTTCAACATACGACTTTCGAGGGGACACAATTCAGTCTGTAAGACTGAATAAATGCGTACTCCATGTTTCACTCTACAATTCGCTTTTCCGCCTTGACATCATGTCCCTGAGATCCTCACAGTTGGGCCTGTAGCTGTCATTACTCTGCTGGAATGCCTTACTGCATTTACTAGAACTTGCGAGAGAATATCAGAATAGCAGACTCAGCATTGGTGTCTTGTTCTTGCTTAAACGAGACTGCCACTAGTGTTTTGTGTTCAGCAAGATATAGGTTACTGGTTTCTCTGCATATACCTTCCTCTGCCTGCAGGGACAGCCTTGGCCGCACTCGGTGATGTGCCATGCGTGGCATTCCCGCTGCCAAGCACTGTCGTGTGTAATGCCTCAGGACCCAGTGACGTTCCAGGACGTGGCCGTGGAGTTCACCCAGGAGGAGGGGAGCATCTGGGCCCCACGCAGAAGGCGTTGTACTGGGAAGTGATGCTGGAGAACTACAGGAGCCTGGCGTCCCTGGGTAAGGGCAGTCCCAGGACCACCGTCCACACTGGCCTGGGGGGCAGCACCAGGCAGCACCCTGGGAGGGATGAGGGACGAAGGTGCCATCTTCCCAGATTGTCTGCTTAGCTGATGGGAAGAGAGAAGACATTAATTAATTTAATTGGCAAGTGATTATTTTTACATTAATTAAACACAGAATCTTATAGATTACAATGAAAACATGCATGATTTTGAAAGATGCAACAGACACTCGGAAAGAGGTTTTGGACTTGCAAAGGCATTTTGCCTACCAATCTTTGGGGCCTGGTGTGAACCTTCCCTGCCTGTAGGGGTTGGAGAACGAGGAGTCACTTTCTCTTCTCTATCCAAACCGTGAATCCCGAAGCCTGAGGCCTCTGACCTTCGGATTCACACTTTGATGTTCAGAGGACATGGACTCGGGGTATTTCTGTTTCTGCTGCTTGTCCTTTGTGTGATCAGGAGTGGGAGCCTGAGGCTGCCCCCCACTCCTGCCCCGTCATTCATGCTGCAAAGGTCCTGAAGGCAGGGGAATGGAGGCAGGGCTCTGGGCTCACCCCTGTCACCGGCCCCAACACCTACACCTCTTGTCTTTCCCAAGCAGGGCGCCAGGATTCAAAGCCTGATGTGATCTCCCAATTGGAGCAAGGTGGATTGCCTTGGATGGTATGGAGGGCCATCCCTAGGGACCCCTCTCCAGGTGAACAGGCGGGAAGGAGTTCTGGGAGCTCACGCACAAGGCTGGCCAGCAAGCTGATGGTTTCTAGAAGCGCTGCCACAGAGCCTTCACCAGGGGAAATCAGGGCTGCATCGGAACAGTCCCTGCGCAGGAGCCACCTCCTGCCACTCTGCTCCTCTCCTGCGTGTGCCTGGGCCCCTCCCCACCTGCACTTTCTTCTTCCTCCTCTCAGGGGCACTCCCTTCCCCGCACTGCCAGGCATTCTGCCCTCTTGAGAAAATCCCCTCAGTGGACAGTCATGCCGCTTTCGCCTCCCTTTCTTTCCTCATTCCCTCAGTTACCACAGTTCCCGCAGCCACCAGCCTCTCTCCCCAGGCTCCCCACGGTGCACACCTTTTGTCTAGTCGGGTCCAGAGAGGCTTTCTATCCCCGTTTCCAGAAGTTCTTGCACCTCTTCCCTCCTCCTGCCCTCTCCTCCTTGGTTTCCTGACACCACACCTCATGCATTTGCCTTCCTCCATCTCCTGTCCCTGTCACCCTTTGCTCTTCTCTGTTCATTCTCACACGCTTGCAGAAGGACCAGACCCGATGGCCGCCCATACTGAAAGCTCGCTGTCTGCACCTGGCACCTCTGTCCTCCCTGCACTGCAGCCCTGCCCTCCCCTCGGCTATCTCCACGTGGACCCACAGCTGTCCTTTCAAATTCAGCACAGAAACCCTTTAGTCACCTGACCCCTCCTGTCCCTCATCCTCTGCAGCCCCTGTCTCCTGGTTCTGATTGAATCATCCATACACTGCCACCCCCTTTGTCAACCTGTGCCATCATGGGCAGTGGCTGGGATTTCTCCATTCCTTCTGTCTTCTCTTAATCCACTTTCAGTGTTGCTGTTAGGCAGGTCTACTAGGAACATCTTCGTAACCACGGCCACCACCTGCCAGAACCCACAGTGATTCCCTGCTGCATTCAGCCTCAGCAAGACTTCACATAATGACTTTCCAGTTCACTCAGCTCCTCTGTTCCTTGTCCTCTCATGCCCCCTCGCCTAGGGTGGATTCTGCATGTGCCGTTTCTGCTTATCTCCTCATAAGTCAGTGACCCCCTCATCGACTCAACAGTGGCTATAGGTTGCCTCTGATAGCAGCAGGAGAATGGGTGGAATGGGACCATCCTTACAGACCTGGTGAATTGGTGTTTCAGAGATGTTAACTGTGGCAGCTTACAAAATGGGCAAACAGGGAAAAGAGGTTGGAGGCTGAGAGATTAGTGGTGACATTTCCCAATGACCTAGGCACATGGTGACTCCAGGTAATACCCTGATCTGCTTTTCCTCCACTAGTTCTTATCCTAGTGATTCCCCTCATCACCACTCCTTGTGCATTCTCAAGGTCCTAGTTTTCACCCTTCAGTCATTCCAGAAAGGCAGTCCTCATTTGCCTCACTTATCAGCACTCCTATAACCACTTATGTGTCCATGGCCACTTCTTTCTTGCTGCTGTGCATAGTGGCTCTTGGCTTACATCACATATTTCAAATCAGCCAAAGCCCAATATCTCTGTTTGGGAAATCAAAGAATAAAAGTAATAGAAACATATTATATGTGGCTTTGACTAGCTCATGCTTTCCGTCTCTCTAAATGGTCAAATATCCTCCACTTTTTATTTCTTTCAGACCAAGAGATCAGATCTGGAACTGAAGAGTCAAATCTGAAGCAAGTAATTTCTAAAGAATTTTCCCAGGATGTGATAATCAACAAAGGTAAAAATAATGGAATCTGTTACTCCACCAGAGAAGGCCCAGAATCTCTTGGCTGTTTAAAGAGCCCTCTAGGGCAAATGGCATTTACCCATAAGAAGAGCCTGACTCAGGAGAACATTCATAAAGATAATGGATTTGAGGGAGAGTTTAGACAGCAATCAAACTTTGTTACTCAAAACAAAATAACTTCAGGGAAAATAATGGATAAAGATGACAGTGATGACAGTAGCTTTTCACATAACCTAGATCTAAGTAATCATCAGAGGATCTACATGAGTGAAAAACCATACAAATGTGATAAATGTGGGAAATGCTTTAGCTGTGGTTCGGATCTCACTCAACACCAGAGTACTCATACTGGAGTTAATTCATACGTTATTAGGTATCAGAAGTTTGGTGCTAGGGAAAAACCCTTCAAATGTAGAATTGTGGGAAATCTTTCAGCAGGGGAACACACCTTGTACAACATGAAAGGTGTCATGTAGGAGAGAGACCATATGAGTGTAATATATGTGGGAAGTCATTCAACTGGGACTCGTCTATTGTTCTACAGCAGAGAACTCATACTGGAGAAAAACGCTATGAGTATCGTGAGTGTGAGAAAGCCTTCAGCCAAAGTACGTGCCTCACACAACATCAGAGGATCCACACAGGAGAGAGACCTTATGAATGTAGTCAGTGCGGGAGGGCCTTTAGCCAAAGGTCACATGTAACTCTGCACCAGAAAACTCATACTGGGGAGAAACCCTATGAATGTAATCAGTGTGGCAAGGCCTTTATTCAGAGCATTCAACTTACTCTACATCTAAGAACTCATTCGGGAGAGAAACCTTATGAATGTACCGAATGTGGTAAAACCTATAGTCATAGCTCACCCCTAATGCAACACAAGAGGATTCATACTGGAGAAAAACCATTTGAATGCAAAGAATGTGGGAAAGCCTTTACCCAGAGCATCCAGCCTACTTTACATCTGAGAACACATACTGGAGAGAAATCCTACAAATATATTCAGTGTGGCAAAGCCTATAGTTACAGGTCATCCCTAATTCAACATAAGAGGATCCATACTGGAGAAAAACCCTTTGAATGTAATGAGTGTGGGAAAGCTTTTCGATGGAATACACACCTTACTCAACACCAGAGAATTCATACTGGAGAGAAACCTTATAAATGCAAAAAATGTCACAAGTCTTTCAGCAGAAGTACACGCCTTAATCAACATCAGAGAACTCATTCTGAAGAGAAACCCTACAAGTGTAATGAGTGTGGGAAAACCTTTGGTCAGAGTGCATATCTGACTCAACACCAGAGGATGCATACTGGAGAAAAACCTTATCAATGTAAGGAATCTGGAAAGGCCTTCACTGTAAATGCATACCTTGCTCAACATCAAGGGATTCATAAGAGAAAGAAACCTTTATAATGTGCCAATTACAAAGAAATTCAGACTGGAGAGAAATTCAATAAATGTATTTAAGGTGGGAAATATTTCAGCATAAACACAGGCATTCCTCAACATCAATAAATTAATAAAAGAGAAAAACCCTATAATGTAATTGTGGAAAATATTTTACATGTCATGTATTCAGTAATAGTTAATATACTCATCATAAAGAAAACTAAGAAAGTAAAAGGTATGTGAAATGTTTTACTGTAATATTATCTCATTAAAAATTTTAAAACACTGGGGGGAATCTTATAAATAACATTTTTAAAACCATGGAGTCATACATGAAAGTTAAATATTCTTATACATCATGTTGAGTTTCTGGAAAACGTGTAGAAATAATGTCTGTTGAATCTATAAATGATTCTAGATCATTTATATGATCTATATATATCAAGTTATGTATGAGAAGGTGAGGCTCACACTTCAAATCTGATGCCCTACTTTATATAGACATAGCTTTAAATACTGTAGATCAGGGGTCAGCAAACTATGGCCCATGCACCAAATCCAGCCTATACCTGTTTTTGTAAGTAAAGTTTTATTGGAACATGGTCACATCCCTTTGTTTATATATTGTCTATGACTGCTTTCACTCTACAAAGGCAGAGTTGAATAGTTGTGACAGAAACTGTACAGCCTTGTGTTAGATTACTAGGCTGCTATAACAAAATACTGCAGACTAGGTGGCTTCAACAACAGAAATATACTTTCTCACAGTTCTAGAAGCTGCAATTCCAAGATCAGTGTGCTGGTAGGTTTGGTTTCTCCTGAGGCCTCTCTCCTTGGTGTGTAGATGGCCACCTTCTCACTGTGCCCTCACATGGCATTTCCTCTGTGTGTGCCTTCTGGTATCTCTTCCTCTTCTTATATGGACACCAGTTCTGTTGGATTTGGGCCCCATCCTTATGGCCTCAAGTATTATCTTAATTATCTCTTTAAAGGCCCTATCTTCAAACACAGTCACATTGGGGTTTAGGGCTTTGTTTTAACCTGTTCAGGCTGCCATAACAGGTATACCATTCACTGGGTGGCTTATAAACAGCAGAAATTTATTTCTCCCAGTTCTGGAGGCTGGAAAGTTCAAGAAAAGGTGCTGGCAGATTCAGTGTCTGGTGAGAGCCCTCTTCCAGGTTCATAGACATTGTCTTCCTGCTGTGTCCTCGTGTGGTGGAAGGGACAAGGACTCTCTGGGGCATCTTTTATGAAGGCAGTAACCCTATTCGTGAGGGCTCTGTCTTCATGACCTAACCGCCTCCCAAAGGCCCCACTTCCTGGTACCATCACGTCGGAGGACAGGATTTCAACATACAAACTTTGGGTGGGACACAAACATTCAGCCCGTAGCAGGCTTCAACATATGGATTTGGAGGAACACAATTCAGTCCGTAATAAGCCTGCAAAGCCTAAAATACCTTCTGTAAAGGTACAGAATAAGTTTCTTGAACGCTGTGGGTTTAGATAATCAACTATAAGTAATATATCAACATTTACATTGTATAAAAATTCTAAAGCATTCAAAATTGGTAACTTAGGGCAACATAGTAGTCATAAGTTGTACCATACAGAGAAATGACGTTTTGTGCATTCTTGAGTTATTTTCTAAAAATTAGAGAAGGGATCTTTTTTCTGGAAAATGAAGACAGGTATTTCTTTGAAGGTAATTCTCTGGCTTCTCTAATGAATCATTTTTTTAGTAAACTCAGTGTTCTGATCACCTCCTATTTACCACATCGATGAGGGAGGGATCCTCTGTCCTAAATAATATAAGATAGCCAAAGGCAGTTGCTATTTATTAGGCTCCTACTATGTGCTGGGCTCTGGACGAGGCTGGGAGATACAGAGGTGATGAGAGAGACCATTCTGTGGTGGTTTCTTGTGTGTCCTCTCCCCTGGGAACCTTGAGAGCAGTGCCCCCAGGTCCCAGCACCTCGCACCGAGCTTGGCATGCAGCAGGGCCCCAGTTAATGCTGAAGAAACGAATGAGCTGCTGCAGGTTGTACAACAAGCACTTGCGATGACTGCAGCTAAAATACCCGACTCCTGGAAATTAACCCAAAAACAGGTTTGACCATCCTTTCCAAGAAATGATGCTGGGTCAACTTTTTGTATGGAAATCTTTAACCCAACTGCAAAATCATATCCAAAAATCAATCCCAGATTTATTGTGGATCCAATTGTGCGAGGTAGAATAATAAACGTTGAGAAGAAAACAAAGGAGAGGGTTTCCTGACTTTGGGGTGGGCAGAGGTGACGCGACCAGGGGACAACGTGCTGACCCTGGAGGAAAAGATTGACTCCTTTGAAGTGAAGAACATCTGTTCATCAGTAGACACCAGAAAGAGCATAAAAGATAAGCCACAAAGTGGAGGAGGCTTTCTGCAGTCCACATGTCCAACAGAGGACTCGTATCTACAAAGAAAACAGGAGAAAATGGACAACAGACCTGAACGGACACTTCCCAGAAAGGGATTCCGTTGCTAAAACTCAAATGGGAATGTGTTCACCCTCATGAGTCTTCAGTGAAATGCAATTTGAGAACCCAGTGTGTTCCTGCCATGTGTTCACAGAATGTCTGCAGTGGGAGTTGTCCACAGCGGGTGCCGTGAGGACGTGGAGGATCCAGAACTCTCTTTAGTGCTGCTTCCTCTGGGCCCTTTGTACTTTGTAGGGTTTTTGTTGTTTGTTTTGTCCTCCCTGTTCTCTTCACATTTCCCTTGATACTGCTTCTTCAGTCGGATCTGAGACTTGAAGCTCTTTCCGTTGAAATCCCATTTTGATCCAGGAGCCCTGTTAATGCAGTGGGAAGGAGGAGGGGAAGGGGGAGTGCTCTGTAGTCCTCTGATTAATCTCAGGCTTCTCTCGAGCCTGTGTCTCTGGGATTTGACCTTTACAAGTGCTTCTCAGATTTTTTTTCCCGTTAGGTGAGAGAATGCTGGAGGGAGCTGGAGCTGGGTATTTCCCTTCCTCCCCATGGAAAGCTAGAGGGACTAGGTTAGGGTATTCCTTTTCCCCCAGGCCAGTGAAGCTCTGGTAGAAGCCAAGGTGGTGGCTCTGGTAAAACCGTTTCCCTGGAGGGAAGGCTTTCTTGTGGACCACAGGCTGCGCTGGGTGTGTTTCAGGATGGTTGCTTTTCTTCTCTCCCTGCTGGAGGCGTGAAGGAGTTTTCTTTGATCTTCACCCCGAGACTGTGGTGGGGCTGCTGGAGGGAAAGCTCATGCAAGTGTGGAGGCCCCCGTAAGTCTGGTCCCCTGGGGATATTAACTCTCGGCTGGTCCACACTGAGCCTCCAGAAGTTCACTCCTTACGTTTCAGTTTTGCTCCCCAGATCCTGGCTCCTGCTCCCTCGCGCTGTGACTCTGTGTGTACCTGGCTCTCCACTGCTGGTGGTGAGAGTTTGTCTTGTGACCTCATTCTCTGATGGGTTTAAGAAGAGTTGTTGAATTTCAGTTTGTTCAGCTTTTCTCTTGTTGTGACAACAGGAACGATGATCTCTAAGCTCCATACATATTGGACCACAAACTGGAACTCTTTTAATCTTTATAATTAAAATGAAGTAATTTTACCTTATTTCCTTTGTAAAACCTTCCCTTTCATTCCTCCTTTTGGAAAAGGGAAGAGATGTCTTCAGGGAGTCTTGCTTTGTTAAAGCAGGATGTCACAAATTGCTCAGGGCTGTGTCCCATCCGAGAATTAAAGCTCCCATTTGTTCAGGCCCAGAAGCTTGGATGCCAGGCCCAGACTCTCCAGGTGAGACGTGTGTGTAGGTGATTCACCTAGGACTTTAAAAGCAAATAGTCCAAAAATAAACTGCTCCATTAGAAAAGACTAAACCTGTAGAGTGTGGACTCCTGGTGTCCACAAGGGATGACCAGCCTGCTCCAGGTCGGGGGTGGGGAGGAAGCAGCAATTCCACCGGCAAGGATGAGTCTCCCTGTCTGTCCCTCCCCTGGGCCCCTTTTATCCTGGGCTGCATCGTTTCAACTCAGAGCATGCCTTTCATATTTAGGTGTCAGTCCTTGTAGCCGTCAGATTGTGTTCTCTCCACAGCCATTAGCTGGGCCGCAGGAACCTGTGAACAGTTAGGTCTGGCCTCCTATGTCACCACCACTCACATGGTCAGGGCTCTTCCACACTGATCTCCAGAGACAGACACAGGAGACGTATGTGAAGGAACCGGAACAAGGCTTTATTCTAAGTTGTGGGGAAGACACGAGGGTTCTGGGAGACAGACGGGGAGAAGGGAACAGTCTAGGTGGCAGGGGGTGTCCCCGCTGCTCCAGGACTGGAAGGAAAGTGGCCAAGTGCCGTCTGCTGTCTTCAGGACTGACCACTGGAACAGGGGATGAAGGGGCCCAAACGGGAAGGCTGCTCCTGCTGTGCCCGGCAGAGGTGGGGCTGCTCGGAGTGGAGGTGGGGACAGACACGCCCCTAAAGGCACCTTGCTGGCGGTGGTGCTGGGGCCTCAGCTGGAAGTAAGGCGTCTCTTCCTGGGCGGGCCCCTGGGGATGAGACTTAAGGAAGGGGCAGAAGTGCCTCCAAACCCAGGGTTCTTCCTAATGCTGGGTCCTGTAGTCACCATGGGGGCGCTCTGGGGAGGGGGGCCCAGGTGTTCAGGCCCGAGCTCCCCCATAACTGTGTGTGGCGCTCAGGGCCCCACCTGTCTGTGTTGTGATGCTGAGTGCTGCAAAGGCAGAAATCAGATCTGAGACAGCTTTCCTGCTCCCAAAGCCCTTATGTGCTACCGGGACCCACAGCCTGAAGGGTGCTCGGCTTGTGCTGCCAGATGTTGATTGTTGCTGCCTGGTGCTGGGCCCAGCATTGGTCACAGCATTGGTCAGGGCGCTGGGCGTGTAGGTGGCAGCTCCAAAGCCAGAGACATGGGCTGTGCCAGAGGGGACCACAGCTGGGGTGGCAGCAAAGGCTGGCCAGGTGCTGGTATGGGTGCCCCAGGTAGAAGGTGTGGGTAGTCAACTGCCAACAGCTCCCCGTGTGGTCCTGCCCAAGGCTGGCCAGCCTGGAGCAGAGGTTGGGGCCCAGGCTGGGGCTGGAGCTGCCAGTGTTCCATCCTGGAGAGAGCTGTGTGAGGTGGTGGCTCCGTGCT